TGTACATGTTGCATAACTTGAATATTTACACGAGATAGCTAGAACATTCTTTTCATGGCACAAAATTATCAAATCTTTTTGCCTTGTTATGTAAGACACTTATATTGACTTTATTCGACACACATGTAATATACACAATATAAGTATGAAACACTTACTCCAAACTATCTTGCACAAATTTTAAAGCAATTAATATTACTTTGTCAACAAATATTGCTGTTTGTGCATAAAACAATATTGCAATGCTAATTTAATTTGTATCAAATCTTATTAATTTTAGGCAACTTTTTCTTCCAATGGCAACTAATGTGCTAATAAACATCTAAATCTGCGTATAAAATATAAAAATATAAAAATTTTTACTTACAGTTGATATTTTTTTTTTTAAAGTATCATTTATTAAATATGTGTATGCAATACGATTGAAACTTAGTAATTGAATAATCAAGATATTTTCAAAGTCAGAGTTTCAGTACCTTTTTTTTTTAATTTGTGTACTGCGCTCACACTGCAGCATTTAATTGATGTAGTTTTTGGTTTGCAACAATCATTGTTATAATAGTAGTATTTATATATAGTAGTATTATAATACTAATAGTATAATACTAATAGTGCTATTATAATAGTAGTATTACATCATATATTTGTGTATCTTTATATATTCTTCACTTCACTTTTTGTTTTTAGTGAAATATAACTCTCGCTCCAGCCCTGCACCTCTTGTAACTCTTTCAAAAACTTTTCAATATTTTTTTCAGCTTTGTACAGCTTTCTGCAATTTATTACCACATGCTTCAGTGATTATTTTTTTATTTGTATATGTATTTGCATTTTGTCATACTTTTTCTCTATTCTTTTTGTTCGTCTTAGACTATATATGTTTTAGCAACTTATCATCTATTGATCTTTTTTGGTATCTCAGCTTATATTTTTAGTTTCTCAAGTTATTGTTAATCGCAATTACTTTTGTACTTGTGTATCTCTGGCAGCACCTCCTACTAAATTATATTATATCTTTTCTCTCTTGTTCGACTCCTTTCGATAGATGATAGATTTTAGTCTAAACTAGTCTACTCTCTATGAACAGTGCATTAATGAGTATGGAAGTCGCACTATTTTTTTATATATCTCTGTAGAACTTTTACTTTCCTATTTTCTAGATCTGACAACCCTTTTATGTACTCGTTCCTTACACATTCTTATTAGTTTAGTATTATTCTCCTTTTTATTTTTATTCTTA